ATCCTCAAACGACCATAAGAGTTAAAATAGATTGGTTTATCTGGGCCAACTGTATGGCCTTAAACATCCAAAAGGAAAGCATAACCAAAGAATAAAGGGGTCAATATAATTTCTTAAGAGTCCATATGCATAGCTAAAAGCTACATAACAAGCAACAATGCCAGATAGGAGATACCATCTTTTGAGTTGTTGGCCAGGGTGGCCCAAGGGAGTACCAGATAGTAACCCAGCATAGAACTGGGAAAGTGATCACTTCTTTTAGCAAGACTGTCACTTGCGTGAACACACCAGACTTTACTCTGGTAACCTGACTTAAATAAACTTTGATAAATGATCAGACAATTGAATGGTATAAAACAGGACACTGTAATTGAATCAAATTAATGGGCATCTTACCATCTTCCTACAAACGTACCAGATAGTAACCCAGCATAGAACTGGGAAAGTGATCACTTCTTTTAGCAAGACTGTCACTTGCGTGAACACACCAGACTTTACTCTGGTAACCTGACTTAAATAAACTTTGATAAATGATCAGACAATTGAATGGTATAAAACAGGACACTGTAATTGAATCAAATTAATGGGCATCTTACCATCTTCCTACAAACCACGCATGACTAATTCACAGATCATCTAGACCACAATAAACCGTTCAGACTCATGTTAATAATTGTGTGTGAAATGGCCAGAGAATGGATGAATGGCTTTCCCTTGTCCAAATAAAGAACTTCATAGGAACATAACGGGTCCCTCCACACATCCTTGTGATATGCTGTACCTTCCAGATTCTCCAAGTAATGCATATTATTCCAGCAGGTAGACTCTTTGAAGAAACCAAAATGACCGATGTCAGATACATCCTGTCTCCCTATGCACTGAATTTGGCTGCTACCCCTCCTCTGAAACCTGGGATCCCCTATTCCATCAAGGTTGGATGACTAGAACATCTATTATTGCTAATTTCCCCCATTTGTTGGTAGTTTCCTCATCTGCAGAAGGACAGAGCTCTCTTGCTCTCGTGTGATCTCTCGAATAGACACTTAAATGGAGAAGATGATGGGAGTGAGGAACAGGACAAGGCAACCTGCAAGGCTGGGGTGGAAAACAAGAGTTCAGACCCAGACTTAGCAATAGCTTTACCTACACCATGGCTCAAGTGCAAGGACACAGCACACTACCCTGTTCTTAAAACTTAATTGCCGTACATTGACATAAATGTAAGTCCCATCACATATGCCTGGAGTAATGAAATCAACATTAAGACAACCACACTCAGCGAATGAGTTCAATTCTACCAAGTCTGTGTTTAGAAACAAAGCAGAGAGATGTTTTGGATTTCCTTGTAAAAATAATTGAGAACTCTTGAGTGAATTTGGCCCAACAGGTGCAGGTGGAGGACGTGTCTGCCCATTCTGTAGAAGGGATAACAGTAGCCCTGGAACCAAAAGTAGTGGATAAAACTCAGGAGAAGCGACACCTGGCTCCAAGGAAAAGCACCACGGGTTATGATGGAGTAGCCTCGTTTGTGGTTAACATTCCCCCTGATGCGACAGCCCTGGAGCTTCATGTGAGCAAAATTCCAATTTGTTGCACTTTCTAGATCACCCCAGTCTGTGTGGCAGCTACATGTAAGACAGATGGGCAAGGTTTTATGACTAAGCATAGTATATGGCTTGGAAACATCAGACCTGTGGGCACATAAAATATAATTTAACATACTGGATATTACATGCAACTATCAGTCCATCAATTTTGTATTTGGAAAGCTTTTTGTTTTTCTTTTTATACTAAACACAATATTAATACAAATCTAAAATTTTAGAATTAGAACTGTTAGTGGAATACAAGAATACTTACGAAATTATCTCTTTAATTTTTATTTATTTATTTGTATTTTATATGCATGAGTGTTTTGCCTGCATATTTATAAGTGCACCCAGATTGTGCAATGCCTGCGGAGGCCAGAGGAGGGTGGCAGATCCTCTGGAACTGGAGTTTCAAACAGTTGTTAGCCACCACGTGGGTACTGGCAACTGAACCGGGGTCCTCTGCAAGAGCAGCCTGTGCTCTTAACTGCTGAACCATCTCTCCAGCCAGAATTCCTGCCCCCCCACTCTCTCTTGGCATTTTTGAGACAGGGTCTCCCTGTAGCCCAGCTGGCCTAGAACTCACTCTGTAGACCAGGCTGACCTTGAACTCACAGAGATCCACCTGCCTCTGCCTCCCAAGTGCTGGGATTAAAGGCATGAGCCACCAGGCCTGGCTTTCAGAATTATCTCTTACCCATCATCTCTCCTTTACCTCACATGGGAGCCCCACTAAAGCATCATCTATATTCCCTTGTCCCCACCCCCAAATCTCCCCCAAACCATTAGATCTGGCTCCACCCCATTGTTCTATTGAAACTGCTCTTAACACGGGTTACCTGTGGGCTGCTTCCTAAGGAAATCAATTAGTTTTCAGTCCTTGTCTTCTGTGCCTCCTCTGGGACATTTGGCACAGCTGACTATTATCTTTTTCTTAAAACAACCAGCTGTTGCCTCTATCATTTCATGTCTCTTTGCTTTTCATTTCTCTTCTTTGTTTTTAATTTTTTAAAATTTCATTTATTATTTTTATCTTATGTGTGTGTTCTGCCTGCATATATGTAAGTGCACTTGTGATCATGATATGCCCACAGATATCAGAAGAGGGCATTAGATCCCTTGGAACTGGAGTTATGAATAGTTGTTAGCCACCATGTTGGTGCTGGGAACACAAACCTGGGTCTTCTGCAAGAACAGCCAGTTTTTGCCTGCATATATGTAAGTGCACTTGTGATCATGATATGCCCACAGATGTCAGAAGAGGGCGTTAGATCCCTTGGAACTGGAGTTATGAATAGTTGTTAGCCGCCATGTTGGTGCTGGGAACACAAACCTGGGTCTTCTGCAAGAACAGCCAGTGCTCTTAACCACTGAGCCATCCCTCCAGCCCCTTCTTTGTTTTTTATAGATTCTACTTTGGACCACCCTGGCTTTGCCTGTACATAAGGGTGAGCTTCAAGGACCTTCCTCTCCTAAACGGACACATTCTTATTTGAGATACTTTCTTACTGATCTATGGCTTATGCTAAATTTATTTCAGACATTCAAGAGCATTATAGACACTGCTTTCTTCACACCTTTTTCTTGGATATTTCAAAGAAGACCAAACATTAATTCATACAATTGAAGACTGTCAGCACAGCTCAAACTCAAGGTCCTCCACTTTGCCCCATTTCAGAGAATACCGTCAGTACTCACCCAGTTCCTCACTGTCTTCCCAGTCACTCCCTTCATGGATCATTCTGAGACACAAATCTGATCGGAATCCACCTTGTCCCTGCCCTGCTCCCAACTCCCTGCTCACCACTCTTTCCGTCATTTCCCAGACTCTAACACACTGGACAGTTCATAGTTCGCTATTGCCACGAGGACTGAGTAACCCTCCCCCACTGCCATCACCACCGTAAGTGCAGTGCTAAGCATGGGCATTTCTCTTTTAGGTTAGAACTGATGATCCAGACCTTCCTGACGAGCATGAGGCCAGCAACGACTACCAAATAGTGGCCTACTCATCTCCCAGCCAAAGTTTCCTTTCTCTTAACTGGACAGAGAGTTACAAGAGTTTGCCTGTGGGAGAATGTTTCAGTATAACTGTTACTCCTAAAAGCCCACACATTGACAAAATCACACACTATTATTACTTGGTAAGTTCAATATTGCCTTACTTGTATCTAATCTTTTACTTGAACCATTTTCTTTTCTTATACAAATAATCATCAAAATAACTCGTTACGTGACAGAATTGATACTTAGTTCTGAATGGACTATTTTATTTATGAAAGAGGGCCATGTCAAGCACCCCAGGCTACTGTCAAACTCAGCTAAGTAGCCAAGGATGACCTTGAACTTTTTTTTTGTCTTTTTTTTTTTTTTAAGGCAGGGTCTCCCTGTAGCCCCAGCTGTCCTGGAACTCACTATGTAGACCAGGCTGGCCTTGAACTCACAGAGATCTGCCTGCCTCTGCCTCCCAAGTGCTGGGATTAAAGGTGTGTGCCACCATGCCCGGCTACCTCCTGTCTCTACTTTGTGAATGCTGAGAGTATAGGCTTGCCTATACCACACCTGTTTTACTTGGTGCTGGGGACTGAACCCGGGGCTTCATGAATGCTAAGCAAGCACACAACCAACTAAGCCACATATCATTTTATAGTAGACAAAACACAGTCACAGACATGCTCTCAATAGAACCCCTGACCATTTCTTTGAGTCCAGTATACGGTAGAACAGGTTGGAAATGCTGAAAGACGTGTGGTGCTCCAAGGTAGTGGCAGATAGGCTTTGCGCTTTGTTCAAGGTCTTCTGAATCCATAGCGTGATGCCAAGGGTTTGGTGAGAGCCTTGATTCAAGTCAGCAGACTAGTTAGTGGCTCAGCAATGATTCATGGCTAGTAAACAAACTATCACCAAGCAACAGACTAACTGCTATGCCTTGCCAATGCTACTTAATAATATACCTTATTTACAAAGGAAAGCGTTCAAGTCTTATGTCCAGTAATGGATACAGTGATCCCAGGCTCATCACTGTTGAAAGTACAAGCTAGAAAAGATGAAAGAAAGGTAGCGTGGTATCGTGCAAAATATTGTCTTTGCGTCAACAAGATTAAGGTTCTGTTCCACACTCTATCACTTTCTTGGGCCAAACTACATATATGAACTCCACTTTCTATATCTGATTGAAATGAATAAAATCATATCATGTGATTGTGAGACACAACAGTGTTCATGAACAAATACCTGATGTACAGTAGGTGATGGATTAACTTTATCTTTTTATTGACTAATCCAACTTTCAACCCATTCTGACACTTAATTTGTTTCTGTATATTTTTAGATTGTATCAAAGGGCAAAATTGTACACTTTGGCAGAGAGAAGAAACTCCCAGGTTCATCACACCAAATTTTAAACCTATCTGTGACTGAGTCCATGGCTCCTGCAGCCCGTCTCCTGGTATATTACATCATCTTAGGAGAGCAGAGAACAGAATTAGTGTCTGACTCAGTCTGTCTGAGCATTGAAGACCCGTGTAGCAACCAGCTCCAGGTGAGACACAACTCCCACCCCCAGTCAGCTCCTCCTCACCATTTAATCTCACACTAAGATGCTTTCTTTCTTTTTCAACTACTTTTAGATCCATCTGTCTCCAAATGAAGACATACAAGGTGCTGTATCTCTTGTAATGGATACTCAGTCCGAATCATGGGTAGCATTAACAGCGCTGAGTACTGCTACATATGACATCCAGGAAAGAAGCAAAAATCCCAAGGAAAGAGTTAAGTAGGGAAAATGCGGTAATGCCTGGTACATAGCGTGACTCAGGGTGACGTGGTCTCCATGGTTCTTCTGGGATTCTGTGCACTGGTCATGGAAGGAAAATATAGCCAACTATGCCAATCCCTATCTTCTCAGCTAGAGTTAAGGATTATAATACCAAGAGCCAACCTTTACCATTATTCTAAGTCTTTGCATCTGTTTCTTTTTATTACATTTTATTTAGTGTACATGCATGTGTATATATGTGTATGTGCAGGCATGTGCCACAGCACACTTGTGGAGGTCAGAAGACAACTCATGATAGCTGGTTCTCTCTTTCCACCATACCAATCTGAGTGATAGAACACAGGTCAGTCATCAGGCTTGGTGGCAGGTGTCTTTACCTGCTGTACCATCTCACCAGCACTCCATCTGTTTCCTATAGAATATTCAACAACAATCCTATAAAATGAGTATTGGTAACATAGGTAATCTTAAGGTGCATTGAGCACTTATCAGTGTCCTCCCCATGTTACTCAGAAGGGACAGTAACAGAAGGACAAAGAATCAAGTGAATTGCTGCTTTTCATTATCCTATCAGGCCTAGAAAGGCTAATTACCCACTTACTTTACAGAATTCACTAATTCGTTTTGATTTGTGTGAACACTCTATTTGGGAATATCCTCAATGAAACTAAAATTCAAGCATCTCTAGTAATAAAATAAAACACATTAAATCTATGTTCAGAAACAAACCTTCAAAACCACCAATTCAAACTAGCTTTCAGTAACTGAGAGCATCATCATGTTTACTAAGTTACTAGTTAGAAGTAATCGATGTGTGGACTTACAGAATCTGAGATGGAACATCTTTTCAGCTTATGTATAAAATTATATTCTCACCTTCCAGGGTGGATATGTCTGAACACGATGGAGTTCTGGTGACCTGGGTGTATTGAATCACTTGGAGAGATGGCAAACAGGGTAGCGGAAGACAGGCACAGTGTGGGAGAATATATGGCCATGTACTGGGATTCAAACCCAGGTCTTCTGCAAGAACAGCCAGTGCTCTTAACCGCTGAACCATCTCTCCAGCCCTGAGAATAGATTTTTAATCATTCCACAGCCAGGCATTCTTTGTACTGGCCACTGAATGTCATGTTTTGACAGAAGGGCTTCCTCTCTGAATAGATGCTTGGAGCTTTATATAAAAACGATGCGGGCTGTGGAGCGAGTGGAGGCAGAAGCAGCACTGAAGTGTTCTGCTTGGCAGGACTCACTGTCCTCACCAATGCAAATGAAGAAGCCTTCCAACAAAACGGTAGCTTTCTTTTAAAAAATGTATTTTGTTTATGTGCATGTGTGCACATGCACACGTGTGTGGGTACCTGTGGAGGCCCAAAGAGGGTGTTGGATCACCTGGAACTGGAGTTACAGGTGGTTGTCAGTCACTCAATGTAGATGCTGGGAATTGAACTTGGATAAGATCAGCAAATGCTTTTATCCACTGAACCTTCTCTCCAGTCCCTAATTTTGTTTTCAACCAAGTCATGGCAACATTCTTGTTCTGAAAGACACTGCTTTTTCTGTTCCCACACTCTTTCTTCCTCCAAATCCTGTTATTTTATTGTGGTAAGAACACTTCATGGGCGGTATCTTAACGGAATTTTTTCTTTTAAATTTTTTAATGTAAATTTTAAAAATATTTTAGTTATTATTTTTATTTTGATGTGTATGAGTGTATTGCCTGCATGTATGTAAGTGCACCCATGTCATGTAATACCTGGCACAGTCAGAAGAGGAAGTCAGATTCCCCTGGAACTGGAGTTAAGGATGGTTCGTAGCCACCATGTGGGTGCTTGGAATTGAACCCAGGTCCTCTGCAAAAGCAGCCAGTGTCTTAACTGCTGAGCCATCTCTCCAGCCCACCTAACAGGCTTTTAAGTATATAATACATACTTGTACATGCATTATGCATTATCTTGTTACATTATTATGTTTAGCTCCTTAAAACTTAGTCATCTTGCTAAACTGACAACTTAAACCATTGATTAATAACCTATCATTCCACATTTCCCTGGAAACCACAGTTCTATTATCATATTCCTCAAATTTGACTGTTTTAGAACCTTGATAAAATTAGTACCATGCATCGTCATTCTGTCACTGCCTTATTTTCCTTAACATAAAGTGCTCAAGGTTCAACCATGACATTGAATTTCCTTCTTCTTTAGACTGAGTCATATTCCATTATATATATATATAATATTTTCTTTATCAATTTATCTATCTACTGCATTTAAGTTGTTTGGACATCTCAGATACTGTAAAAGTTTTGCATGTACATGGGAGTGATGATTCCTCTACAATATTCTGATTCCAATTCTTTAGGAAAATACCCAGTCCTGGGATTGCTAGATCACATAGTGGTTCTGTTTTCAGTTTTTAAAGACACTTCTCTGGTGGCTGCATTAGCTGTTTAGCGTTTCCACCAAGAGGGTGCAAGCTGTCAGCGTTTCACATGTCTGGTAAGGCTTTCTACTTTTTAAAATAGTAGCGTCTCCTGAAAAATATGAGGTGATAATTATTTACAGTGCTGGTTCTGCATTTTTCCGATACTTAGTGATGTTGTTTCTTTAACTGTTGACCATATATTCATCTTCTTTTGTGTATCCATGGCTTCAGCCCATTTATTAACTGGGATATTGTTTTGGGTAGGGTATTGAGTTGTAGGAGTTCTTAAACATTTTGGAAATTAATTCCTTGCCAGACATAGTTTGCAAATCGTTTTGTTTTGCTGGTTCACATGTTGCCTCTTCACTCTGTTGATTATTTTCAACAGAGAAACTTCTTAGTTTTCCGAAAGCCTGCTTCTTAATTTTTTATTTTGTTTTCTGAGCTGTGGGTATTGTAGTCATGAAATCATTGCCAAGAACAATGTCATAAGGATTTCCTCTGTTTCTGCAGTTTTAATCTCTACTTCATTTTTTTTTCCAGAAGAAGCATTTCATTACAGCTTTAACACATTCAGTAACACACTCCAGAGAGAGAGTACATCTCTTTCAAAAGTGGCTGTAAATTTTTAGGTTCACAGTTGAATTAATACAGTTATACAATGTTGAACTCAGTATAAGCCCTGTAAGACATAAAATTGAATGAGGTTTTAGCCTTTAAAAAAGATCTCCATTTATTTAAAAATACACGGTTTCTTACAGAAAGACTCATTGTTTTTGCTAACACTGAGATGTTGGCGCATGCGCCTCTAATCTGTATGTGTCTGATTATCACCAGTCACAATCGATTATGGATCTCACTTTATTCTTTTTTTTTTTTCGGTCTTTTTGAGACAGGGTCTCCCTGTAGCCCCAGCTGTCCTGGAACTCACTACATAGACCAGGCTGGTCTTGAACTCACAGAGATCCACCTGCCTCTGCCACCCAAGTGCTGGGATTAAAGGCATATGCCACCACACCCAGCTCTCATTTTACTCTTTTATATGTGGACATTTCACTTTCCCAACACTGTTTATTGAAGAGACCATCTTTTCCCCCATTATGTACCTTTGTACTCTTGTCAAAGATCAAATGCCCTTGAACTTATTTCTGGGTCATCTGTTCTGATCTATTGGTCTATATCTTGCCTTTCTGCTGATACTGTACCATTTGATTATTGTATTTATAATCTATTTTGAAATAAAATAACATAATAATCATGGCATTTGTAGTTCTATATGGGCTTTAGAAAATTTTTCTATTCTATAAAATGACTGGGACTTTAACAAGAATTGAATAAAATCAATAGTCCATTTAAATAGTATGTGAATTTAAACAATATTAAGTTTCTAATTCTTTGCATTTGTCTGTGTCTTCTTTAATTTTTTTCATTAATATTTTGTCATTTTGGTATGCAAGTGTTTCACCTCCTCAGGTTTATCCTAAATATTGCTCTTTTGCAAGTGGGATTTTTTAAAAAAATAATTTGTTATCTAGATAGCTCATTGTTAGTATGTATAACTGGAAATGGGTTTTTAGTGTTATTTTGTATCCTACAGATTTACTGAATTGATTTACTAGTTCTAACCACTTTTTGTGGCATCTTTAAGTTTTTCTATAAAGACCATATCATCTGAAAACGGGGGGGGGCGACTTCTTCCTTTCTAACGTGTATTTTTATTGATTTTTTGTGCATTTCATATATCTTAATCATATTTAGACTCCTTCCCTATCTGCATTCCCCCATAGCCTTCCCAGATGACTTCATGCATTTTGTCATATATGTCAAGGCCTATTGAGTCAAGATTGTATACCCAGATGTCCCCCTGTATGAGTTCACACACTGAAGCTTTATCAGCCTATCATCACTCTCTTAAAGAAGATCAACTCTCCCTCACCCAGTAGTGTGATCAGTAGTTCCTCAACTAAGGGTGGGGTCTCCTGCTCATTTCCCCAGTTCTGTGCTGGTTTTTGTTAGACTGAGTTTGCATGGGTCTTGTGCATGCTGTCACCATTGCCGCAAGTTCATAGTAGCAACTTCCCAGAAGCCTGGAGGGCTCTGTTTCTTTATGGTCATGCACTATCCCAGGCTCTTATAATCTTCCCAGCCCCTCTTCTGCAACAGTCCCTGAGTCCTGGGTGGGTGAGTTTTAATGTGAATCCTATCCAGGGATACACACTCTGCGGTCTCTTATTCTGTACATTTGGACCAGTTGTGACCTTCTGTGCTCATCTTTCCCTGTTGCATGAGAAAACTTCACTGGTGAGAGGTGAGAGATACATGAGTATTCTCTCTACCCCATGTTCCACAAGTTCTGTGAGTCTTAGGTGTAGAGGTTCCATTGTAGATGTGTCACTTAATTCAGCCTCCTCCCTGAAAACTAGCTCTTATGGCTTGGGAGGACACTATGCAAGTTGTTAAGGGAGAAAATCAATCAATGTTCCAACCACAGCTTTAAAGCCTAATAACCACAAAAATGGTATAGCAAGCTATCTCTATTGGTGCACTTTTATCTTAGGGATAATCAACAGTTATCTAGTCGAACTTAAAGTCCACTCAGTGGCTGGGGGTGTGACTCATGTTTTGTACTGTGAACATGGCTGGAGAGGTCCTGGATCCTGGAGAAAACCTTACATCTGTTATATCCCTAGGCAAATGTAATTTCTTACTTCTTCCTTTCTTTTTATTTTTTAAAATTTTTTATGTGTATGAGTGTTACGCCTGCATGTGTGTAAGTGCACATGTGTTGTACAGTACCTGCAGAGGACACAAGAGGGTGTCAGACCCCCTGGAACTGGAGTTAGAGACAATTGTTAGCCACCATGTGGGTGCTGGGATTCGCCTGGGTGTTCTGCAAGAGCAGCCAGTCCTCTTGACCACTGAGCCATCTCTCCAGCCCCAACTTCTTCCTTTCTTATCGGCATTCTTTTTAGTCTAACCACTCTGGCTAGTTTTTCCCATGCAATGTTGACTAGCAGTAGTGAGAGTCCCTGTCTTTGTTTTGTTCTTGATCTTGAAGGAAAGGCTTTCAGTTTTTCTCTATTGACGGCATTAGCTGAGAGCTTTTGTATACAACCTTTATTATGCTGAGATCTTTTCTTCTAGTCCTAGGATATTGGATTTGATTATGGTTTTTGCAGCTATGAGACAATTATGATTTTACCCTTCATTTTGTTAATGTAGGTTAATATATCTATTGATTATTAAGCATTGAACCATCTTTGCATTCTGGGGATAAATCTCATTTGATCATGTCCTGTAACTCTTTTAATGTTCTGAATTGACTTATATGTGTGTTTTGTTAAGGGTTTTTCATCTATGTTCTTCAGGCATGGTATGATTTCAGTCTTCTGAATTTGCTAAAAACATGAAATGTATCAGGAAAAGATCTATGTTCATTTGAGAAGAAAGTGTATTTCTGCTATTGTTGATCGTAGTGTTCTGTGTATGTCTGAAAGTTCATAAAATATGGCTTGTAATGTTTGCTTTTGAAATTTCTGCTTCATTACTTATCTTCTATAGAGACACTGTATTCATAATTCAAAGTGAGCGTTGAAGTTCCCCACTCTTGTTATCTCTCCCTTCAGCTCTGTAAATGTTTGCTTTGTATATTTAGATGCTATGCTGTTGCGTGCATATATTGTTGTATCTTCCAGTAGGCCAACTAACACCACTATATAACATTGGTTTTTGTGAAAGTTTCTAATGCAGAACCTGTTTTTTAAAGCTTTTTAAAAATTATTTTTAATATTTTATTTTTTTTATGTGTATGATTGTATTGCCTACAAAAAATGTGAGTGCACCCATGTCATGCAATGCCACAGAGGTCAGAAGAGGGCTTCAGAGTCCCCTGGATCCAGAGTTAAGGACAATTCATAGCCACAATGTGGGTGCTGGGAATTGAACCTAGGTCCTCTGCAAGAGCAGTCAGTGTTCTTAACCGCTGAGCCATCTCTCCAGCCCTAGAACCTATTTTATCCTAAATAAGAAGAGCTCTGTTTTGATTTCATGGAATGTCTTTTTTTCCACAATACAGGTCAAATAGCTTGCCAGGGCTCTGCACCAAACCTTTCACCAGGCTGAAGTCTTCTTAAGTGGGATCAAACTACTCCAAGATTTCACCATGCCCAGCTGACCTCACATTTTTCCTTCTGTTTCATTGCTTTCCTGCAAAGACCTTGTGCTCAAACCATATTCATTTCCTTGAAGTACCAAGGGTCTATCATACCGTAACCTGGAGGCAGTTTCTCATCTAAGTCATCACAAAAGTTAACCTCTGTCTTCTCCTTGGGTGCCCCCTGGCAAGCCACCTTTGAAGAACTGAACTCTCCTTCTTTGTTCATTTATTGGGGCTGTCATTGTACAGCACCGCACACTGATAGGCTTATGCCACAGAAGTGTGTTTTCTAACAGCTCTGGGGCTACAGGTTCAACCTCAAGGCATGACAGGCTTATAGCCTCGGTGTCCTCTGCGGTTTCTCCCCTTGACCTAACTATTCCTTCAGTGTTTCTCATATGGTCTTTTGTGCACATCTGTGGCCTAATTTCCTCTTCTTATGAGGACACCATCCATGTTGGATTATGGCTCACTCTAATAACTTCCTTTACTCTTAATCACCTCTTTAAAAAAAAATCTCATCTCAGCGGGCATGGTGGTGCACGCGTATAATCCCAGCACTCGGGAGGCAGAGGCAGGCAGATCTCTGTGAGTTCGAGGCCAGCCTGGTCTCCATAGCGAATCCAGGCCAGCTAGGGCTATAGGGAGACCCTGTCTCAAAAAGACCAAAAAAAAAAAAAAATCCCATCTCCAAATACATTTGCTTTTTGAGGTAATAGAAACTAAGGCTTTAACACATTGGTTTGAGCACAGAGGTCTTGCAGCTCAGCCCCTAACAACCCTCTGGTACTTAGTAGGGACCTACAGCATCAATGGGATGAATTCTTATTTTATTCCTGAGGATAAGGGCATGATTATTTTACTGAACTTTGTATTCTTAATCTAGAAGAAATAAATATTAAATATAGTTTAAAGAAATTAGCAAACCACCTTAAATGTATTGTTGATTTTTAATATGTTTTATTGAGTTTTTGTGCATTCCATATAATAGATCTTTATCAAATTTAGAGCCCCTCCCCTATCCACACCCCCAATAGCCCCCCATACCAGATTTCATGCATTCTGTCATATAAAGTCCTATCTAGTCAAGCATTTGTACCCAGATGTCCCTCAGTGCAAGTTCATCCACTGGAGTCAGGTTTTTTCAAATCATATTTGAGCTTCTTGAGAAGGTATATTTGTAAAAATCATGTTACAGTGCTGCTACTGAGAAATATGGTTACTGTAATTATGAACCTCCCTTTACTAATGATACAGAGCAGAACTATGGGGCATAGAACATGGTGTCTGATGAAGCAGATTTGACATGATTCTGTAAATTTAATACTTAGATAATTTGATGGAAGCATTTATTCTGATGGATAGTCTTTGTGTTTTTTACAGATGGATCGTGTAAGAAAATTCTTAGGTCGAGAAGATCCTCGAAAGAGTTAACAGATTTAGGTGTGTCAACGTTTGTTCCTTTATTTCTTCTTTCCTTCTTTCTTTCTTTTCCTCCCTCCCTTCCTTCCTTCTTTCCTTCCTTCCTTCCTTCCTTCCTTCCTTCCTCCCTCTTTTCCTTCCTCCCTTCCTTCTTCCCTCTCTCTCTCTCTCTCTCTCTCTCTCTTTCTTTCTTTCTTGGAAGTTAGGATAATTTAGAACCTGTAACATTTTCTTACTTTAGCTAACTGGTATAAAAATAGGTAAAAAGATCAATAGGTCTTTGCAAACTGGGTAAATTAGCACACACTCACTTTGCACAGTCCTAACCTATAGGAAACACATATCCTTGGTGCCCATTCCTCCACAGTTACAGAGTTGCTCGTTATTTGCCTCATATATTTTATTTTCTGTCAGAGTAGCTGGTTTGGCAGTTAAACATGAACGGACTTTAATTACTCACAAAAATTAGGTCTGATGAACCTTAGCAAAAAATACTAATTAAACCCTTACTATATGCCAAGCATTGTTGAAGCCCAATACTTAGATTTTCTCATTGAATACTCACTCCGGACCCATGAACTACTACCCTTATTACTCCCCATTTTCCAGCTGGGACGTAAAATCATGGAAACATTAAGCAACATTCCTAGCACTGTGGTATAGTAAGTGGCACAGGCAGAATTCAGATTTGACTGGGACTGGTACCTGAACTCCTGCACTTTAAAAACAATATTTTATTATTTTTATTTAATGTGTTTGAGTGTATTGCCTGTGTGTATGTAAGCGCACCCATTTCATGCAATGCCCATGGAGATCAGAAGAGAGCGTTGGATCCCCTGGAACTGGAGTTATGGATTGTTGTTAGCCATCATGTTGGTGCTGGGAACCAAATCTGGGTCCTCTGCAAGAGTAGTCAGTGCTCTTAACCACAGAGCCATCTCTTCAGTCCCAACTCCTGCACTTTTGATCACTACAATCTACTGCCTCTTTTGTTCTGTATATTTTTATTTAGTGTCTGTTCAAATTATTTGGAAGATGGACCTTAAAGAACCATTTTTATATACCTTTTAACCTCATAACACCAGTGTTAAAATAGACACTGAACTAAGAGTTATAGATTCTGTGTTTTAAGTGATAATGATTATATGTTTTGTATATTTTATTTAATTTTTGTGTATTTCATACAATACATCTTAATCATATTTAGTCCCCCTCCCTCATATGTACCCCATAGCCTACCCACAGGATTTCATGCATTCTGTCATACATGTTAAGGCCCATCAAGTGTCAAGTTAGTGCACCAAGATGTCCCTCAGCGCACGTTCATCCACTAGTGTCTAGTCAGCCTATCTAGAGTCTCTCCCTTAAAAATATCAACTCTCCCTCACCCAGCAGTAGTCAGCTGCCAATAGTGCTTCGGTTAAGGTTGGGGCCTACTGCCCATTTTCCCAGTTCTGTGCTGGGTTTTTGTCTGATTGAGTTTGTATGGGTCTTGTGCTTGTTGACACCAATGTTGTAAGATCGTATGAGCAAGTTCCCAGAGGCCTGGAAGATTCTGTTTCCTTATGATCATGCACCATCCTTATGATCATGGCTCTTACAATCTTTCCGCTCCTTCTGCAATGGTCCCTGATCTTCATAAAGTTTTCTCCCAACTTCAGTGAACACTTTCTAAAAGAGCAATTTTAGAAAGTAACACATAAAGAACAAATCTTTAATCTGAAATTAGAATGCATGGATAGATAGGTAGGTAGGTAGATAGATGATAGATAGATAGATAGATAGATAGAGATAGATAGATGATAGATACATAGATACATAGATGATAGATAGACAGATAGATGATAGATAGATAAATGATAGATGATAGATAGATACATAGATGATAGACAGATAGATGACAGACAGATAGATGATAGATAGATAGATAGATAGATGATAGAAGATGATAGATAGATAGATAGATAGATAGATAGATAGATAGATAGATAGATAGATCCATAGCCAAGATTACTGATTCCCCCAAGCCTCCATTTCTTGTTCTGTAAATAGGGGCAATTTCTCTCTGCCTTGAAAAGTTATGAGACTTACAGGAGATCATGCTGGTAAAGCACTTAGTTCAGGAAGAACTCATAATGGTTCTTTCTAACCTCCTCTTGGCAATGCCACTTTCTAACCTAGGCTAGGCAAAAATTATAATCAGTATTTTATCATGGCAAAATTAGTTTCTGAAAACTCAACCATCTTGCCAAGTTTAAATAAATGGGAAAGGACCAGACCTTCTGCACCACAGCCCAGGGGTTTATCTCACGATTCTGCCTCGTGGCTCTAACCCTATCTCTGCCCCCAATAGCTGTTACCAAACCCTGTTTCCTCATCGCTAAAGGACAAAAAAGGATGTAATCAACTCCAAAGGTCCCTTCATAGGCTGACTAGACCTCAGTAGATTAATTTGCACTGAGGGACATCTGGGAACACCAATTTGACACAATAGGCCTTAAGACAAATGACAGAATGTATGAATTCCAGTGGGAGTGCTATGGGAGGTACCAGTGGGGAAGGGGGTATAAAGATTATTAAGATTCATTGAGATGTTCTGTGTGAAATACACAAAAATCCAATAAAAACTGAAAAAAAAAAAAGGACTACATGTGCTTCTGTTTACCCACCAGGCTTCCTACTGACTGTAGCTGACAGCTTTGGTCAGGGGAGTGGCTAGTGGAACATGACTATAGGAAGGCATTGGAACCAATCCTATCTCATCAAAACATGGTATAGAGAAAAAGGCCCCAATGGATATTTAATGGAAGGTCTATTTAGTTTGGACTTCTGTAACAAAGCATCAGGGATTGGGTGGCCTTATAAGCAGCACTGAGTTTGGGTGCGAGTCTCCTTCCAAGTTACAGAGTGCCAACTTCTCATTGCATCTCTACATGGTAGGAGGGCAAGCAAGAAAACTCCCTTCTACAAGGCATCATTCCCATCCATGAGGACCACACCCCTTCAAGATGCCTTCTCCTAAAACACTGGGACTTAAGATTTCATCATATGAACTGGTGTGGAGGGGGGGGCGACACTAATATTCAGTTCATAACCTAGGAAAGAGCAAGAATTACGTAGTCTAGTTGAGGAACTCTAGTTATATGACTTTTTCTGCCCAGGAACCTTAACCCCAGGGGGACCAATAAGGGTTAGATTCTGGTTTAGAATGAGGTTTTGTTTAGAAGACACCAGGAAGAATCTGTCAGTGATTAGAGCCCTCTGAAATGGAACAGGAATGGAAGAGACTGCAGAAGGGAAGAAGCAATTTCCCTTCCAGGGATTGTTCTGGAATGGAACTGGTCAACCCCTGGTACTACTGGGATTAGTCAGAAGGCACCAGGGACAAATTTATACCCCAACCTGTAAGTTCGGACCTGATATTTTGAATCTGTATTTGACTGAGAGGAGGTGTATGATCTTTTCAGCATCCCAGTTCAGACACCCTGTGATCCGGAAGTGCTGCGAAGATGGAACCAGACCAAGTAGGCAGAGCTGTGAGGCGAGAGCGAGACGGATTACCATTGGCCCGAAGTGTGTGAATGCTTTCCTTCAGTGTTGTGAGCTGAAGGAAAGCAGTTCTAACACGTATGTGGCTTTGGGAAGGGCAACAGGTATGTGTGACAGCTCTCCTTTACGTGCAGCACAGTGGGAGGAGGCCAGGTAGAGTTTGTACCTTCACAGGAAGAGTAAGTGTGTGAAAGATGAAGTAAACTCTTGGAATTCTGCTCAGAAAAAAATAGAGCAGGCAGTGCCAATACCAGTTTGGGAAATCTTTGTCCATGTAACGTGAATTCTATTTTATCTGAATTTATTATTTCCCAGACAGTGCACTTTTTGCCTTTTGTTTTCGAGCTTCTCCATCAGTTGATGGCAGAACATATCATTTATTGCTGAAGACTGTTGTTCTTTACCCATTTTGAAAGTTTCTTTTAATGGACCATTTTAAACACATTCAAGGTTGTTGAGTATATACTTATTTCTGTTCTCTTAATGTTTCCTATTGATCGTGTGATGTTTCTTTCTGTCTTTTTCTGATTCTTGTTGGTATGTTTTGGAACATCATTCTTCATCCTGTCGAAAACTTTTGCACTAGTTTTCATTAGAATGGTAGGAAATGTAGGGCAACATCTGTTGTCTCACCTATTGAACGGGCAGAAGTCCTTCACCCCACCACCCCCGTTTCCAACACAGTGACATTGTTTACAACTTTTATGTCTTTCCATAAAATTTCTCTGCCTATATGAAAATGTCTTTTAAAATTATTTTCTGTTAAATATTTTTATTTTGAAAATTTCATAAGTACAGTATTTACATTTCCACCCTTCCCTCTCCCACTCCGACTCCTCCAGTGTCAGTATAGAACTAGTCCAGTTAGTCCTGCACATATATGTACATGTGCTTAGGGCTGACCACTTGGGATTGGGTAATCTATCAGGGGGTTCATCCCCAGAGAAAAGTGATTCTCCACTCTCAGCAGCCATTGATTGCTAGGGGTGAGGCCTTGTGAGAGTTCCCCCATCCACACTGGCATTGGACTGGGGTCATTGTGCAGGTCATGTTTAGGCAACCATATTGTTGAGAGTTCATGGGTGCAGTTTCCCCGTCATGTCTAGAGGCATTGTCTAGTAGCTGGTAACCTGGTCCTCTGGCTCTTACAGTCTTTACACCTCCCTTTTCCACAATGTGCCCTGAGCTTTGGGTATAGGAGTTGCATTATAAATGTACCCACTGGGGCTGAGCTCCCCATGGATATTTATTCTCTGAATTCTGACCAGCAAAATTTCTGAGTACACATTTATCTATGTCCTATGTTTTTAATACCTAACAAATATTAATATTCTACACCTTACTTTTTATACTAAATATATCTCAGACAACTTAAAGCAAAGGTTTGTTTTTCAGCTGAGCATAATGGCTCAAGCCTTTAATCCTAGCACTCAGCAGGCAGAGGCAGGCAGATCTCTGTGAGATCAAGGCCAGCCTGGTTTCCACACTAAGTAGAACACTAAGTGACATATCTACAGTGGAATCTCTACACCTAAGGCTCACATAACATAGTGAAACAGGGGGTAAAGAGAATACTAATCTAATGTGTCTCTCTACTCTCATCAGTGAAGCTTTCCTCATACAACAGAGGACAATAAACATTAACGACCACAACTGGCCAAAGTGTAGAGAATAAGACTGCAGAGTGTGGGTCCCTGGACAGAACGCCTATGTTAAATTTCACCCACCCAGGGCTCAGGGACCATTACAGAAGAGGGGGTAGAAAAATTGCAAGAGCCAGGGGAAGAGGTGCAGGACCACAAGGAGACAGAACTTTCAGAGCTCTGGAACCTTGTTCATATGAACTTACAGCAATGGTGACAGCATGCACAAGGTCCATGCAAACTCAATCAGACAAAAACCAGCATAGCACTGGGGAAACGGGCAGGAGGCCACAATTTTGGCGAGGAACTATTGGTAGCTGGTCACTGGTGGGTGGGGGTGTGTTGACCTTCTTTAAGGGAGTGACATTAGACAGGCTGAACAGGCTCCAGTGGATGAACTCACATGAGGGACATCTGGGTACACAAACTTGACTCAATAGGCCTTAACATATATGACAAAATGCATGAAGTCCTGTGGGCAGGCTATGGGTGGGTGCAGATAAGGGAGGGGGGACTAAATATGATTACAATGTATTGAATGAAATCCACAAAATTCAATTAAAATATATTATTAAAAAGATTTGTTTTTCTTATTTGGATATCACAAAAATTAAATTTTGGCTGAAGTCCTTATAATTTTTTAATTAAAAGTTAACTGTCCTGTTTTAACACTTAACTCTCTTATATGTTAAATTTAACCTGTGGTTTTATTTTCTTAAAACAGAATCAAAATATGTGATAAAGCATACAGTAGGATTTACAAGCAAAACAGAAAACTGGTTGTGGGAAGTATACCATGTTCCCAAAAGGTATTTTAAGACTTCTATCTTTATTTTCCTTAGGAAAGTTTGAAAATACTTAACTATGATTATCTAGTCTGTTACTCTGACGATTGTTTCTTTGATCATTAAAGCTAGCATTGACATTTGATCAAAGTTAATTTGGATCGATGTTGGATTGGTTTTTGCCACAGTACCTGAACTCATTGCAGAATGAAGGCTTTTTATAAAAGAATACCATTCAGCTTATCTTAGCTTTAAGCTTGTAGTTGGGGTGGTTCTGGGTCTTTGCACTCTGATACAATTATTTCAGTCTTTCCAAACAATTTCATTTTAACAAGTTCTCTAACAATGTATATTGCCCATTTAAGCATGTGTCTTTGATGCTTTATAATAATACTATATAACAAATATGAGGCAGTGTTTTCCTCATATTATGAACACACACTGTAAACACTGACTAACCATGGGACTGGGTAAATGACTCAGGGGTGGGCTGGAGAGATGGCTCAGCAGTTAAGAAAACTGGCTGGTCCTGCAGAGAACCTGGATTTGATTCCCAGAACCCATGGTGGCTAACAGCTGTCTGCAACTCCAATTCCAAGGGAACTGAAGCCCTCTTCTGACCTCTGTAGGCACTGCACTACACAGGTGCACTTACATATATGCAGGCTATACACTCATACACATAAAATAAAAATAATAAAATATTTTTTAAAATACTCAGGGGCTAATAGTGCATAGTGTTCTTGTAGAGGACCCATGATAGGTTCCCAATTCCCACATCAGGCAGTTCACAAACGTTTATAAGTCCAGATCCAGGAAATCCAATGTCTTGTCCTGCCCATCATCAATGAACAAGTACATACCCACAATTAAATTTCTTTAAACCATGAAAAAACACTAGCAGAAGGCTTAGGAAATTTCCTGTTTTGCTCTTACCACATCTTGCTTAATGTCAATCACATTCTTTATACTCCAATATCAGTTTTATCTGCCTCTCTATCCCAATTCATTTTTCAACTGATTTTATTAAAATCCAAGACTGATCATGCCACTTCTCCACCTAAAACCACTCTCCCTATCCTACCAGAAAAATCAGTATAAATTCAGAAGGTCTCACTGTGTTGGATAGCTTTAGTGTCAACTTGACACACCTGGGTTGAGGGAGCCTCAGTTGGGGAATTGCCTCTATTGGACTGGCCTGTGGCCATGTCTGAGGGGCATCTTCTTGATGAGTGATGTAGGAGGGCCCAGCCCACTGTGGGTGGTGCCACCCCTGGGCAGGTGGACCTGTGTTGCATAAGAAAGCAGGCTGAGCAGGGGCCAAGGGAGCAAGCCCGTAAGCAGCGTTCCTCCATGGCCTGTGCTCCAGCTCCTGCCTCCAGGTTCCTG